GTCCAGGTATGGATATTTCTGGTACATTGAGATACTACTGATCACAAGAGGAAGAGCCACAAGGCAATACGATGAAGGCGGTTTTCCTTCAAACGCAAACTGAAGCAGCGCGGTCACAAGTAAGGCCGATACAATCACAAATCCCTGGATAAACAAAAGACAATATACACATATTTCAGCTTTTGCTGCAGAAGCTTTGATTGTGTAAGGGTTGGGTTTTTTTTTTTTAACCTTTCTTACGCCACCAGCATGTGATGTAACCAGGCCAACGAGAATTCCACCGAGGGCGTTGCTTATTACGGGGACCTGTAAGAACGGTCGCATCCCATAGAAACAATCAGCAATAAGAGTTTTTCCATCAACAGAATCGTCCAGGAGTTAGAAATAGTTATTACCATGGTTAAAGCAGTCCAACCATGAAAGAAACCATGTCTTTTAATCGCTTCACCATCTGGAGATTTAAGGGTACTTACTAACAAGCAGAGGCTTCCAACAATAGACATTTCGACCGTCATTAAGTATGATGAATGCTTCTTGACCTGCAACGGTGAGACATTAAGGCTATGAATGAAATGAACTACTACAGATTTTTTTATTGGAATGTGACATTTAAACTCTGGATGACCTGAGAAGCCCATTGGCAAAGAGAAGAGGCTAAACCCGAGAGCACAGAGGCTGCCAAGACCGGGATAATTCCATAAAACAACACTTGATCTGGATTAATTCCACTTGAACTCTTGTTAGAGCCTTCACCAACACTTAGGAGGACTGCTGCCATGATCAATAAACACAAAGCTCCTATTTGTTGAATTGATTGCTTCTGCCTACAAGATGTCATTTGAGAAGATGTGTTACAACACTTTTCAACAATAACATCAACACACGTGAATATCATCTAGCTACTATCCATATGCCGCAATCTCCTTAAAAAATATTGTGAGGCGTGGTTTTCATATTTTGAAAGGAAACAAGCAGAAATACAAATCCGATCGGATCACACAGCTGCCTTAACTAATAAATCATTCAGAGACGATTCCTACTCTCATTGGGGAGCTAAGTGGTAGGCACTAAGTTAGAGCAGAGAAACAGCCAAATCAATTTATTCAGGCAATCAAACAACAAATCCCTAGCTCGTGAATATACAAACTCCCACGAATTCAAACTTCAAACGGTAGATCACACGATCAAGATCCCAAGAAGAAGAAAAAGAATGGTACCTTAGTATTATGAATGTAAAGAATGCCGTGAAAAAGATTTTCGTCTGATTCAGAATTGAAAAAGTTAAGGAATCAAGACTCCTGTACGAGATCTGCAGCAAACTGTTCTGCAGTGCATATATGGCTGCAGGAAGTCCTGATGCAGTCAAGGATCCCATAAACGTCCACTCTTTTGCTAACCCCTTCAAACTACCATCTCTTGCCATGAGAATCAGAGCACATATGACCTGAAAACAAAGGACATACAACCGGATTTTCAGAAACAGTATTTCGTAAATGTAAAAAATTTAAAAGTAGAAAGGAAGAACATCGATCCACTACCTTAACAATCTCGCACGTCAAAACAGATGAAGTTACAATAACCTCCTTCCTACAAAACCATGATAGAGACAATCCATTAACTGTATAAGAAGAAAACAACATATGGACTAGTGACCAAGCCTACTAGGTTCTAACTATCCATGGAATTCTGTTGCTAACATAGCTTCATCCTCAGTATCACATTGAGCATAGGTGTCGAAATCTTCCATAGTAACTCAATATGAGGTACTAAACTACGTGAAATATTACATAGTACCCTAAAAAAATTAACATGAACAACCAAAACACTATGAAGAATAGCTAATTCGATAGGCCAAAGCACCATTGCAGCAAAATAGTATACTTAAATTCATCTCTAACACACTTAAGATAGTCAGAAATGTCTTAGTTTCACACTAATCATTGTCTTTTCTCACAGTAACAAGCAACGAGAATACACATAATCACAATTCCGAACTGTAAGTTCCTCCCGTCACTATTTTGAACCACAATTCGCATATTGAATCGATGAATTCCAACAAACAGATGCCAGAAAAATCGAATTCCATCTCTACAGTCTCCATCCGAATCTCGCATTCTCCGGAAACAAACGCACGAAATCACCGAATAGAAACGCGAATATCACCCAAACATGAGAGAGATTTAGAGGGCCATATGCGTTGTTTCCAGAAATCGTACCCGATGCAGCGTTTGGAGATCAGCGGCTGGGCTCCGTACTGAAACGTAAGCAAAATGGAATAAAACAAAACCATCCTCGACGGACTCTTCGCTCCGTTAGGCGTCGTCATGAATCTTCGGCCACCGAGAATCCAGAAGATCGCCTTCGCTTTTGGTGGAGAATGGGTTTGCGCTTTTTAGAAACGAGGAGCAGAATGCTTTTTCTCTTTTCTACTTTACGTCTTCTTCGCAAGAGAGGAACCACCAGAACGGCGTCGTATTTGTTTGACAAGTAAGGCTGGGCAAAATATATGTGAGATTCACTTTGATTCGTTATCCGTTTCGATCCGATCCGAAAAATCCGGATATCCGTAACTTCACCAAACAAAGC